GCTCCGCAGCCATCTTCCGAGCCCCGCAGACGTCAGGCAGCAGGCCCGGCCCCTTCCCACAGCCGGCAGGGAGGGGGTGTGTGCGCCGCGACTGGGGAGGGGAGGGGGGGGGTCAGGGCGGGTGCGGACGCCTGGGGGCGTCGGGCCCGGGCGCGCGCCGCGGGGACGGTTGTCATGGCGACGGGCAGGCTCCCGCCCCGAGGGCGCGAACCCGCATTGTGAGCGCTGGGAGGCAGCTCCTCGGCCCGGAGCGGCGGACTTTCTGGAAAGGGGGCTTGCTTGGGTCTGGGCTGGCTTCAACCTCGGTGACTGCTCCCGACTTCTGGCCCCTCGGAGAGGGGCGAGGGAGGAGCCCAGGGTTCCCGGCCCTGGGTTCCCGTGGTTCGAATCTGGTCTGCTCATTCCTCCGAATCCCGTGGCCCGTCACTCGCTCTTAGTTGCAGAGCTTGTGGGAGAGAAGCAGCAAGAATCCAGCCGCGAGCGACGGAGAACCGGAGCCCGAGCGCAAGAGGAAGCGCTCCCCCTCCGCAGGGTCTCACGTCCCGCTTGGCTCATCTTGCAGATTGGTGGGAAGAGGGGGGCACGAGGTGGAGTTAAGAGACCGGCTGGGACGGAGCCGGCGAGGGTGAGGCGAAACCCATGTCAAGTGATTCGCGTTGGAAATCAAGAGTAATCGGGGGAAGAAACGGTTACTCAGTTACAAAACTTTATCACCTTATAGAAATCAACGGGACCGGAGAGCGCGGCGTGCAAAATCTACGTGACAGGAGGACTTTTATTTCTTCCCACGTGATACCACTTTAGCGTGCAAAAATTGGAATATGCTCGCAAAATAGGTCCCTGTGTCAAGGGCCGGAGCCTCTCAGCCGGCCCCCGTCAGTGGACTGCAGCGTGGGAAAAGTTGCCACGACGTATTTGCGGGGACTCAGGCACCCCCGGGCTCGCTGGCTAGCGGGAAAAAACCTCGCGAGAAGGCGCGCGAGTCCGTCCGGGACTGAGGTCCTGCCCCGGGGCCGGAAGCGCGCGGCTCCTCCCGGAAGTAGTGCTTCCTCGGCTGCATGTGGCCCGCACGATGGCGGCTCACCGCTCCGGCCCGCTGAAGCAGCAGAATAAAGCTCATAAAGGCGGGCGGCACAGCGGTGGTGGGTCCGCACACGTGGGCAGCAAGGGTGAGTAGACGGAGGAGGGAGGAGGGCGGCTTGCTTAGCCGTGCCCAGACCGAGGCTAGACTTGGGACCCTTGCCAAGCGCTCTTTGCTAGGAGCGCAGAAAGGTTCCTGTTGGTCAGCCTCACGGTGCGGAACAGAACATGGCCACTTCTGATCTGCCCTCCAGGCCGTGTAGGACCGAAAGTCTTGTGCAAGAAGGCGAAGAAGCAGCTCAGCCGAGTAGACCAGAGGCATCGTGCCAACCAGCTGCGAAAGCAGAAACGGGAGGCGGTGAGACGAGTGGGGGCGGGGACACGGTGCGGCGTGGGAATGGTTTTACTTGGGTAATGAGTACCTCAAACTAGAAATGGCCCGAAAATGGAGAGTAAACCCAGGGTTCCTTCAGGCCGTGCTCTTTTTAGTCTCCGAGGCCCTGCCAAACCTGACAGCGTGTATACGTGGCCTTTAACAAGAGAATGCTTTTCTTGGGTAGCTTCATTTATTTGGCCTGCTGTTCTTCTGCAGGGTATTCTGATTATCATGTTTTCTTTTTTTCCTTTTCTTCTCTCCCCCCCTCCCCCCGACAGGGTTTCACTGTGTTACAGCCTTAGCTGTCCTGGAACTAGTTTTGTAGGCCAGGCTGACCTCGAACTCGCCTCTGCCTCCCAAGTGCTGGGATTAAAGGCGTGTGTCACCACTACTGGGCTTTTTTGTTGTTGTTGTATTTTTTTTTTTTTTTTTTTTTTCGAGACCGGGTTTCTCTGTATAGTTTTGGAGCCTGTCTTGGAACTTACTCTGTAGACCAGGCTGGCCTCGAACTCACAGAGATCCTCTTGCCTTCGCCTCCAGAGTGCTGGGATTAAAGGCGTGGACTACCACCGCCCGGCTTGTTTTGTTGTTTGTTTGTTTGTTTTAGCAAAGGGTCTCACTATGCAGCCCTTGCTGGCCTAGAACTCTCAAGTAGGTTGATTGTGCTCGCCTCCTGAGCACTCAGTTTAAAGACCTGGCCTACGACACCCAGCTATTCTGAAGTTTTCTAATGTTTTACGTTAAAGTTCCCTTGCTACTTTTACAAGCCAACAAAGAGGTTGGGGGTTGTGCTTTGGCGAGGCAGCATCTGTGTTTTTGAAGATGTAATAGTGAAGCAAATGGATGAGATAGTCTCTGAACCTTTGTTTTGCCAGGTTCTGGCAGAGAAAAGGCAGCTGGGCAGCAAGGATGGGCCTCCTCATCAGGTGCTCGTGGTGCCTCTGCACGACAGGATTTCCCTCCCAGAGGCATTTACACTACTTCAGAATGAAGTCTTGGGAACAGTGTACGTGAATGAATTCGGAAGCACCCAAGGCTTTATGCTTCTAAGCCAAGTAGTGAGGCGTCGCTGGTTTTTCACATATGCAAGACCAGGTTAGAATATCCAGTATTTTTCTGACATTATGTTTAAGTAGTTCTGTGTTTTGATTATAATGTTCTACCTCCTATGCTTTGTGTCTTCTTGTTTCCAGGGGATCTGCATACTGTCTTAGACATGGCGAAAGTTGCTGATACCATCCTGTTCCTCCTGGATCCACTAGAGGGCTGGGACAGCACTGGGGATTACTGTCTGTCTTGCCTCTTTGCTCAGGGCCTTCCCACCTACAGTAAGTGTGTTGTAGTGTTGGAGACCAGCAAAGAAAGTTAGCTTTTTTTTTTTATTACTTTAAAACAACTTATTATTATTATTTTCTTTTGAGACAGGGTTTCTCTGTGTATCAACCCTGGCTGTCCTGGAACTCACTTTGTAGACCAGCCTGACCTAACTTACAGAGATCTGCCTGTCTCTACCTCCCAAACAGTGGTGTTAAAGGCATGTGCCGCCACCATCTGGCTTAGAGAATTTTTGTATCTGGGCTGCTCTTGCCCAGAGAAAAACTGGGAAGATGTACTTCATTTTGACGTTTCATTAGTGTTAGCCAACTCTTGAGTTTCCCAGTGACCGTTGGGTTGTTGTGATTGGAAATGAATTTTCCAGTAGTGAAGCAGTCCGTCACTAAGTTCTTCCTTTCTCTTCTTTCAGCGCTTGCTGTCCAGGGGTTTTCTGGCCTCCCACTAAAGAAACACATAGATGCCAAGAAGAAGCTAAGTAAAATAGTGCTGAAACGCTTTTCCGAGGATGAAGTCCTGTTGCTGGACACGCCACAGCAGGCAGCTATGCTCCTTAGACAGTTGGCGAACCAGAAGCAGCGGCATCTTGCTTTTCGAGATCGGCGAGCTTACTTGTTTGCCCATGTTGCTGACTTTGTGCCTAGTGAGGAGAGCAACTTAGTGGGCACCTTGAAAATCTCAGGCTATGTTCGCGGAAGGACTCTGAATGTAAATAGTTTGCTACATATTGTTGGACATGGTGATTTCCAAATGAATCAGATAGATGCCCCTGTGGACCCCTTCCCTTTAAATCCTAAAGTGATTCAGTCCCAGAAGAAACCGAACATGGCAATGGAGGTAAGGTGGATAGGGTTTTCATTCCTGTGAATCGAACCCAGGCCTTGGCAGGCACTCTACTACTTGGCTACATTCCTTGCCCAAAATTGTTGGCTTTAACTTTTTTTTTTTTTTTTTAAACAGAATTTATGTTTGTATGCTGGAGAGGGAGCATATTACTGGTGTGGAGGGCAGGGGACAACTTGCCAGGGTTGGTTCTCTCCTACCTTGTGGGCCCAGAGGATTAGACTCAGGTTATTGAGTTTGGGGCCCAGACTGTTTTGTTTTTTTTTTGTTGTTTTCCAGGACAGGGTTTCTCTGTGTAGCTCTGGCTATCCTGGAACTTGGTTTGTAGACCAGGCTGGCCTTGAACTCACACAGATCCACCACCTGCCTTGGCCTTCCAAGTTCTGGGACTAAAGGTGTGTGCCACCACTGCCTGGCTTCTGTTTTTTTTTTTTTTTTTTTGAGTATTTATTTATTTATTTAGGAGCTGAGGACCGAACCCAGGGCCTCGTGCTCGCTACACAAGTGCTCTACCACTGAGCTAAATCCCCAAGCCCCCCCCCCTTTTTTTAAAAAAGAATGTATATTTGTATATATAACTTGGCACAGGATGGAAAATTTAATTTTCAGAGAAGATAGTTTTTGCACACTTAGGCAAGTGAGGAGACTGCTAGTTTGAAATGTAAGGCAATAGACAATTAGAAATGTTGATCAGTTGTATTTATCCATTACTTTCTATGTATTCCGCACAGTTGGCTCTGCCTTTGTGGCAGATGTGGACTCTTTTCTCAGAATTTATTTGAATTGGGGAAAAAATTAACGAACACTTGTGAATTTAAGAAATATAGTAGCATGTAGTAGCATATGTATAGTAACGTAGTAGCAGATGTGTAGTACCAGATGTGTAGGAGCAGGTGCAGACCTGTGTAAATTGAGAGTACACTAGCAAGCTACATAGGAGAGCACAGTCAACCAAGTGTTTGGAAGAATGACTAGCTTATGAACTTCACAGAGTGAAAGAATATCTTGGGGACTATGTGAACCTAGGTATAGTGATGGAGTAGAGGATTTCTTTGAACTTTTTTTTTTTTTAAAGACTGGACCTCACCATGTAGCAATGGCTGGCCTGGAACATACTGTATAGAACAGGCTGGCCTCAAACTTTGCAGAGATCAGCCTGCTTCTGCCAATGAAGCGTTGAGATAAAGGTGTGCAACATCATGCAGGGTTGATTTGAATTCTGAAGAGAGCAGTTTGAAAGGGAGTGTAATAAACAGGTAGGAGAGTGTTGTCAGATTTTCTTAGAAATGATCTCAAGAGTTAATCAGGGGAGCAGAGTTGAAATGCTAGAAGACAGCCATTTGGAAATTTTGGTATGTTTTGATTTTCTGTTTAATTTGTGGATCTCTTGGGTTACTGTTCGATTTACCAGACTTGGTTAATGTGTGATAGGCTGTTACCTGCTTTTGGTTTAGATTTGTACTACAGATGCTGTAGCTGACATGGAAGAAGACCTTAAGGTTCTGATGAAAGCAGACCCTGATCAACAGGAAACTTTACAAACAGAGGTTTTTCCAGATCCAATGGAAGGGGAGCAAACCTGGCCTACTGAGGAGGAACTGGATGAGGCAAATGGTCAGTGGTAGCAAACATGTTAGTAGTTCTTTACTTGGTCACTGCTTGCTTAAAGGGCTGGATGAGGAAGTGGCTGGAGTTCAGATACTACATGACTGTACTAAGCAAACACTGGGCACAGCTCTGCTTCCATTCTCAAAATCACTTGGCTCTTCTTTTTAAATAATAAATGATATTAAGTCCATTACAGGGTTTATTTAGCTGTGTATTGGTTGCTAACCGAGGCAGCTGAATTAAATTTGGAGGTAGTCTGTTCTCGTGTGACTGCTGTTTTCTCACGTTGGCAGCAGTGTCTGCACAGGTGAGAATACAGAAGGAAGTGTAATTAGTATATAATAGTGTGGATTGATGAACCGTCTGGGCTTCACAGACTTACTGAAGCAACGTTCCAGGGTGGTAAAGAAGGTCCCTAAAGGAACGTCCAGTTACCAGGCTGAATGGATTTTGGACGAAGGTGATGAGAGTGGTGAGGAAGGCGATGAGTATGATGATCTGCAACATGAAGGTTTTATGGAAGAGGAGTCTCAGGTAAGAAAACGGGCCGCCGGGCCGCCTGTGTGTACAACTTCAGAAATGTGGCTATGTGAAGCCAGCTGCCTAAGAGTGGCTGTAATTTCCAAAGCTTCAGAGAAATGGTGTCTAAAACAAAAGAAAACAAAACAAAAAAATCCCCCAAAAAAGAATGGCTATAATTACGGAAAGGATGTTTTTATGACTTCCTCTCTTGTTAGTTTATTTTGTGTAAAGAAAGTACTTGCCACATAAATGTTAGGACTTAGAGTTTGAATTCCCAGAGCCCATGTGAAGCATGATTCAACAAACAACAAAAAATCCTATGTTAGAGCCCACTAGGCTTCCTGGTGCCTGTACCCAGCAGGACTGCATAAGAGGTTGCTGTTGGGGTAGAGATGGGTAGGTTTCTGCTGAAATACCTGCAATTTTTTTAGGATAGTCTTATTAGCCCATAACTGACCTTGAACTCAAGCAACCCTCCTCCATCTTCCCAGAGCTAGGATCATAGGCATGTGATTTTTAGTTTTGTTTTTGTTGTTTTGGTTGATTGATTGATTGTTTTGGTTTTGTTGTTGTTGTTGAAGGCTTTGGCACATCATTTTATTATTGTTGTTGGGTAGTTTTGTCCTTTTTTTCTGACAAGTTCTCATGTATCCCATGTATTAGCCCTGAACTCAGTATGTATCAGAGAATGATTTTGAACTCTAAGCTTAATCTCCTGCCTCTGCCTCTACGTCCCCACTGCCTGGATTATAGAGATACTCTGGCATCCTGTGTCTTAGTTTTTGATGTGGAATCAATTACCAGGGCTTCACAAATGCTAGGGAAGTACTTTACCATATGAACCACACCCCTAGGAACCACACCCCCCATATTGTTTTTAGGGTGTATGTCTTTGGCAGGGAGGTGTTTGAGATAGAGTTTCACTATTTTGCTCTGTTCTAGAACTCACTGTAGACCAGGCTGCCCTTGAACTCACAGAGATCCACCTTCCTCTGCCTCCCAAGTTTTATTACTATACCCAGGGCTTTCTTGTGGGGGTGGGGGGTGGGAGGCAGTCAGGGACAGCTTACTGAGTCATTTCTCCCTTTCCATATTTGAGTTCTCTGTATAGGACTCAGGTCTAGAAAGGAGGTCATTTGGAAACAAGTGCCTTTACTCACTGAGCCACCTTGTTGGTGCTATGATTTTTTTTTTTTTTTTGAGGCGGGGGCTGGGGGTATAGTCTTATGAATCTCAGGCTCGTCTAGAACTCTAGCTGAGAATGACCTTGAACCCAGGTGTTGATGTACAGGCATGTGAAATCTGCCCCGTTTTAGGCAGTACTGGGGATCCACCCCAGAGCTTTATGTGTGCTAGGAAAGCACTCTACCAGTTGAGCTATGTCCTCTGCCTTGTTTGGGGTTGTTACTTTTTTTTTCTTACTCTGTCACCCAGCTGCCATCAAACTCCTAATGAATCTCCTGCCTCACCTTCCCAAATGCTAAGACTACAAGTGTGTTTCATAATGCATAGTTGTGATCCCTCGTTTTACAGGATGAGAGTGGTGAGGAGGAAGAGGAGGAATGTGAAACTATGACTCTAGGGGAGTCTGTGCGTGATGATCTCTATGACGAGAAAGTAGATGAAGAGGCTGAGGAGAGAATGTTGGAGAAATATAAACAAGAAAGATTGGAAGAGATGTTTCCAGATGAAATTGATACTCCCCGTGATGTGGCTGCTAGAATTCGGTTAGTACTATTGGGAGCAGGAAGCAAATGAAAAAAAATATTGTCCTTGTCCTTGAAGAGCTAACATGCTATCTGAGAAGCAGCAACACAGTCAAGGTTCAGAGGGCCCTAGTGAAACAGACATACCTAGGTTAATTAGCAAATATTCCTTGCAGGAGTAAATGCTCAAAAGAATGAATTTGGGGAAGTAAGAGTGTGTGTTTTGAATAAATGCTCATAAAAGTAAGAAGGCCAGGCAATGGTGGCACACACCTTTAAATCCCAGTACTCGGGAGGTAAAGACAGGCGGTTCTCTGAGTTTGAGGCCAGCCTGGCCTACAGAGTGAGTTCTAGGTTAGCCAGGACTATACAGAGAGACCCTGTCTTGAAAAACCAAGGGAGGGAAAAAGGCAAGAAAATGTAGGTGATTTTTCTTGAAGTAAGCCTGACTAAAAGCGAGTGTCCGTGTTGGGTATTAGAGTTCTAAGGCAGGTTGAAGACCACATTCCCTGATAGGCACCAGGCGGGCACTATATATCTGTCTCCTGTGGAAAGCCTGAGTTGAGGTCTCACGTAGAGCAAGGTATTCTGGATCTTCCTGTATATTTCCTTGCCCAGTTTTAACTCATTAGGATGTTTTGATTTCTACTGAGTAATTTTTAGTTTCAGACTGTTTCGCTTTGTAGCTCAGGCAGACATGGAACACATGATCCTGTCCCAGCCTCCCCAGTGCTTGTACTACAGGTATATAAAAGACTTCAAGGCATGTGTGGTTTGTGGTGCTGTGCTGGGGATTGAACCCAGGGTGTGTATACTAACTAAGCATTATATCACTGAGTTACTTTCCTAGATAAAAATACTTTGAAAAAGCTAGAGCATTGACCATGTGAGGTGAGTCTTACGAAGCACCATCTAAACCTCTTTCTTTAAAAACCTGTGTTCTAGATTTCAGAAATATAGAGGCCTCAAGAGCTTCAGGACATCTCCTTGGGACCCTAAGGAAAACCTTCCTCGAGATTATGCTCGGATCTTTCAGTTTCAGAATTTTATTAATACTAGAAAAAGAATCTTTAAACAGATTGAGGAAAAAGAAGCCGAAGGAGCTGAGGTATCTGCCTTGTCCACCTTGTAATTTGTCTTCTTCCTCGTTTGGGAACAAAGAGGGATCAGAGATAATTAACTGAGAAGGTGAATCTGGGTGGTTGACACATCTGTGAATGATGACACTTGGCGTGTATTTGGAGAAAGGTTTGTCACTATTGGGACATTAAGGGTAACCCTGCGATTGTCTTGTGCGTCTTTCTGGCAGGTTGGCTGGTATGTCACACTCCATGTCTCTGATGTCCCTGTCTCAGTGGTTAAGTATTTCAGGCAAGGAGCGCCCTTGATTGCATTTTCTTTACTACCGTATGAACAGAAGGTAAATCAGTGTTTTGTGGGGAAATGGCAGAGTTCCAAATATTTTTCCAAGGTGTACAACATTTTGCTCATTGGGGTGAAAGGCTACCATTTTGATTGAGGAATCAGAATAGAGAGAAGTCAATGATGGTTAAGCCCAAGATGTCTGAACCTGTCTGAAGCATCTCAGTGATGCAGTCTGTGGTTCTGAGACTTCCCTAAGTATGTTTTTTTTAGATCAGAATGGTAGCAAGCAGTCTTTTTTTTTTTTTTGGTTTTTTGAGACAGGGTTTCTCTTTGTAGCTTTGAGCCTTTCTTGGAATTCTGTAGCCCAGGCTGGCCTCGAACTCAGAGATCCGCCTGGCTCTGCCTACTGAGTGCTGGGATTAAAGGCGTGCGCCACCGCCTGGCTTTTTTTTTTTTTTAAAGATTTATTCATTATGTATACTGTATAAGTGTTTTTGCCTGCAGGCCAGAAGAGGACACCAGATCTTATTATATAGATGGTTGTGAGCCACCGTGTGGGTGCTGTGAGTTGAACGCAGGACCTCTAGAAGAGCAGTCTGTGCTCTGAACCTTTGAGCCATCTCTCCTGCCTGGGGCTAGCAGTCTTAAAAGTAAATGTTTATGCCAGTGTAAAGATCTGTTCTCTAGGTGGCCAGTAGTCATGCACACTAGGAGTGGGACAGCTCTGTAAAGGTTGTGGAGGCTTGGATGATTATGGTTGGGAGGCTATATGGTGATCGGGCAATGTGAAGGTCATTCACTATGGCTTAGCTTTTATAATGTTAGAAGTGGACCAGTAAGTTAGCTTAGACATGTGTGTGGAAGCACTGATAAGGCCTGTATCACCTGTAATGTCAGTTGGTGGTAGGTAAAAAGGATTATTTATATGACGTCTGTATGATGTCATTAACTAGCACAGTCAGTTCTTAGAGTAAAACTAATGTTTGTTTGGCTTGCCTTTCAGGTTAGGCCGTTGTATGCCTAGATTATGAAACATTTTTTATTTGGTCCTCAGATGTCAGTATTGAACATGGTGGTGAGTCGGAACCCTGGCAACACAGAACCCGTGAAGGCCAAGGAAGAATTGATTTTCCATTGTGGATTCAGGCGCTTCCGAGCCTCACCTTTATTCTCTCAGCACACAGCAGGTTAGCACAAAGCTCTGGGGTCTGTCGCCTGCTGTCTTAGGCTTGAAGGTGGAGTACAGTGTGAAACTCGCAAGTCTCTGGGTGAGCGAGTTTCAGTACTCTAATGACGTAGGAGCCGATGATGTTTCTTTCAAGATGTCTGAACCTGTCTGAAGCATCCCAGTGATGCAAACTGTGTTGTACTGAGGCTTCTCTGCTCTGAGTGTTGTTCCAGAGTAGGTGTTAAACCAGAGTTGGTAGCTTTAGGAGTATGTGTTGCCTGCTTTTGAACAGTATTATAGCTCACTTGCCTTTCAGTGACAGGAGACAGAGATGGTGACAGCATAATTGGTGCTCTGGGTAAATTTTCTCCTCTATCACATCATTTTGTAAACAAAGTTTTACTGAAACATGGCATGTCTTGATTGGGGGGGGGCTCTTTGAAACAGGGTTAAAGAGGGCTTTGAACTTTGGGTTCTCCAACCTTTACCTCCCAGTATTATTATTGTTATTATTATTATTATGCCTGTTTGTTATTAAGTATCTAACTATATTGTGTATGATTGTCTTGTGAGAGTTGAGAGACACGGTCTTAATATGTAGCCCAAGCTGGCCTTCCTTGATCTTCAGAATGGTGGACTATGGTGAGGGGTACACTACCATGCCCAGCTGGCATGGTGTTAGGAAGGCACACTGATGTACCTGAGTAGCTGGAATAGAAAGTAATTGGGAGCTGAACCTGAGGACCTACATTCAGTGGGTGCCTTGATCCTGCATGATGGAAGGGGAGAACTGTCCCCTGACTTCTACCCTAGTGCTGTAGCAATATGCCCCCACACCCCCAAAAACCAAAATGTATTAATAAAAAGCTTTTATTATTTTAAGAATGTAGCAGCTGTGTTACAGATGAACAGAGCTTTTCTGCTAGCTTACTGTCCTGTACCCAGCACACAAGAGCTTGGCTTTCTAGGTTGCTGCACAGTCAGTCTGAGTAAAAGTATTGGTTGTAGTGAGATCAGATCACCTGGAGGACTCTTTCAATGCCAGCCATAGTCTAAGCTCTGATTCTGTCTCCAGTTGAAAAAAATCACTGATGGGACCAGGTTTTCTCTTTTAGTTGTATTAATTCAGGGAAAAAAAAGTCTGAGAGTTAGTAGTGTAGAGAAACACAAGATGAAGCTGGTAATCTTAGCCCTTGAGAGATGGAGGAAGGTATATTGTAATCCATGAACCCTGTCTCAACAAAACAGACTGGGGCTTGCAGAGGACCTGGGTTCAATTCCCAGTAGCCACACTGGTCAGCTTAGAGGCACCTGCACATGCACACCCACACACCATGAGGATATACCCAGACAAAAACATGAATCTTAAACACCACTGCTTTTGATTAAGTTACAGTTAGGCTGAGACTATGACGCAGATCTATGGCAGAGCACTTAGTGTGTACACAGCCCTATGCTTGATCTCCTTTACTATAATTTTAAAAGGTGGGGCTATGTGTGGCAGCACCATAGCTCCTAACAGCCTTTGGATTGCTTTCTGGTTTCTCAAAAGGCTTTTCGCTCTTCTTTCTATTTATTTGGGACCCTTCCGTTGGAAGCTGATAAACATAAATTTCAGAGATTCTTGACTGCTGATGCGGCCCTAGTGGTGACAGTGTTTGCGCCAATCACTTTTCCTCCTGCATCTGTGCTACTTTTCAAGCAGAGAAGCAATGGTATGTTGACTTCCAAATGGTAAATAATGAACCTACTAGGACCATTACTTTTCTGTAATTAAACCTGGGGTTTAACTGTAAGGTATACTGGTGGTTTTTCAAAAATACCAATTTCAAACTCACTGAGGGGGTATGTAAGCCCAGGGTGATAACTAGTTCTTACCTGTTGGCACACTTCATTAGGGGTTGCTTGGAGTATTATATTTAAGGTGGGTTTGGGGGGACTGGCTCAATAGAAATATCTTTCAGTAGTCCTTGTGGCCTCAGAAAGGTAACGGTGCATTTCTCCAAGATAATCTTGAGTGGGTCTTTAAAATAGATTAGAGCAAAGCTACGCAGAGAAACCCTCAAAGAACCCAAACACCAGATTAGAGCAGTAGCTGAAGGGTTTGGCCTGTAGATTAACAGTGGCTCTCCTTTCCTAGGAATGCACAGCCTCATTGCTACAGGTCATCTGTTATCAGTGGATCCAGACAGGATGGTCATCAAGAGAGTTGTTCTGAGTGGCCATCCTTTCAAAATTTTTACTAAGATGGCAGTAGTTCGCTACATGTTCTTCAACAGAGGTAGGCACGAGTGAAGGAGAGTGGGGTCGGATTCCCTGTGGTGGGAGGACTGGCTTGATGCTGGGGGTTTTATTTTGTGTCTCTGTTCCATTCTAAGAGGACGTGATGTGGTTTAAGCCTGTGGAACTGAGAACCAAGTGGGGCCGCAGGGGACACATCAAGGAGCCTCTAGGTAAGAGATGGGATTCCCTGGTGTTACCAATGGACTACTGGGCTATAAAGTTCACTGTTTAAAGTGTCTACTTGGACCAATTTGCTGTTTTCCTTCTAGGTACCCATGGCCATATGAAGTGCAGTTTTGATGGGAAGCTAAAATCTCAGGATACAGTATTAATGAACCTCTATAAGCGAGTTTTCCCCAAATGGACTTATGATCCATATGTACCAGAACCAGTACCATGGGTGAAAAGTGAGATCTCCTCAACAGCCTCTGAAGTGGACATGGAGTAATGGAGTCAGTGTGATTCTGTCTCTACTGCGGTCAGGACTGTGGGTGGGAGTCTGGCTTGTGACTAGGCAGTTTGTGCTTTTCTGTGTCAGCTGCTCATGTCTCCACTGAGTGGGGTTTACACTGTTTCTTGGTCTCCAAATTCTAACTCTTACTGAAATACTCCATTAGGATTTTGAAAACAATTATAAAAAGCAAAGACGGAAAACAATTTTCATCTAGAGACAACCTCTCCCTCATGAATTTAAACAGAAATAGTCTGGAAAGGAGCTGGCCTTTCAGCCTGCTTCACCCAGCTTAGGGAGGTTAAGTCTACATTCCCACCACTGAGTACAATACAGATGTTCTTCACTTCTGGAGAGACTGTCTGGAAATGCTGCGACAGCACTGCGGCCAGTCCGACGCCAGCGGTGGGTTCAATGAGCAGTTTCATCCTCTCCCACACCAGTTGGGTTGCATACTGTTGGTACAGAGAGGAGGAAGGATGATTGGAACAAATAGCGCTGGACACCAAATGAAATAGATGTTTGGGTTTGTTGCGATGAGTATGTGCTTGCTAATAAAGTATGCATATAGAACTTGGGGGCCTAGCTCTGCTACTGTCCGGGTGCCCATGTGCCACCGGTCACCTGGTTGATTATCTGTTCATAATAGTTTCTTTTGCCTACGAAGTTAGACTTGCTGTTTTTCTCCTCCCAGTCTTACCTTGATTTCGTCCTCTGTGACAGTGAAGACATCGTCTACAAGGTCTCTGATAATAGGCCAGGTGTTTAAGCCAATGCTCGACTTGACACCATCTGCTATGGTCTCTGGAGGATGAGGATTGGGAGTCAGCTCCCCTTTCAGTTTGGACTGGTAGCAGTCATCTGCATTCAAGGGTTCGGCAGCATATACCTTCACATTGGGTTTCAGGGCCTGTGAAGAGGAACAGAGGCTGTATACCGACTGGCAGCCTTTGCCTGCAGACCTAAAGGAGGCATAATGTACAACACATGTTTTTTGTGTTACAGAAGGGTCTTTCCTTATATATGGAAATGGAAATCGGACCTTGAAGCATTTTAATAAAAGTATCTGATAAGTGACTTAATTGTCTAAGTTATGACTGGTTCTGGTAGTTTGGGGAGAACAGTAGTGTAGTGAGGTGGACTTGGGAAGGAGCGAGGATGCCACCCATGGTCAACTGCTTTCATGCTGTGATATCATAGATGAAAAGGACAGTGAAACAAAGGAGGCCATGAAAGAATGGTAATTTGGTAGAATGGTAAGTGACTATCCACAGTGTGGTGTGATGTGGGTCCTACATTCCTAATCCAGGAAGTCCTTTAACTTGGCTCACCTTAATTGTAATGGCTATTCCAGCAATCATTCCTCCTCCCCCTACAGGGACCACCAGTGCATCCACCAAGGGAACCTGTAGTAAAATTATAAATAGCCCAATTAATAAAGTTTTATATATCCAGCAAGACCACTTTACTAGTGGCTAGATAGGATGATGGCATTTTACCTGGTTCAGCACTTCCAGGGCAATTGTCCCTTGTCCGGCTATCACTGCAGGCTCCTGGTTGGGATGGACCAAGATGCCTTCTGTTTCTTGCATAATTCTTTGAGTGACCTTTTCCCTGGACTGAAAGGTAGCATTAATATAGCTTACTTATAGTGAGTCCCCAAAAATATAATTCAGTCGCTTAACACTTCAAAGAAAATGAATTTTTCATATTTCTTTATAAATAAATGGAATGTTTGAGTACTTGTGAGAAAAAATAGATTTTTCATTGGGTGGCTGAGGGGCTTCTAAGTGACAGCAAGCAATGGATCTTTTAAAAAATGTTTGAAGGTATACAAGGTAGAAATATTTGGCTTTTCTAAAGAACTATTAAGGGAGAGGATAATATAGGAGGTCTGGCAGAAAGATGGAATGGTGAGATCATCCTAGGAACTTTGGTGACTGGGGATAGTGAGTGAGTGCTTGGTATGTACAAGGTACCAGTACCAAATCAAAAACAATCCTCAAACTTTGAGGTGGAAAACAGTCTGAATGGACAAGTTGGTTGCTATTGAAAACATACTATAGGGGGCTTGGGTGGAAGCAGAGACAAACTAGGGTACTGAGTCTATGTGAGAACTTATGCTGGATGGGACCAGGGTGGTAATGGTAGAGGCTGTTAAGGAACTGGACTGTAAAACTGGCTTTTCTTTTTAAGATTTTATCATACCCAATTTGGCATGTGTGCAGGCGTTAGAGGACTGGGAGTCAGTTCTGTCCTAATGCTGTTTAGGTCCAGGAATTAAACTTGGGTTATCAAGTTTGGCAGCAGGTGTTTTACTCGCCAGCCACCATGGCCCGTGTGCATGTAATTTGAGAGGACAGATTATCTGGATGTGGTATTTGGAATTTATCAAAGAATTTTTTTTTTCTTGAGAAACTAGAAAGATAAATGTTGCTATTTGCTGAGCTGAGGAAGACTGGAATGGGGAGTGAGGCCAGGAAACTGGTGTTAGACAAAATCACTGATGTCCAGGGAGGAAAATTGGGTTGTTAGAGCATAGTGAAACTTCTTTAAAATTTTAATTTCTGGCTGGGCAATGGTGGTACACACCTTTAATCCCAGCACTTGGGAGGCAGAAGCAGGCGGATCTCTGTGAGTTTAAGGCCAGCCTGGTTTACAGAGTGAGTTCCAGGAACAGCGCAAAGCTACACAGAGAAACCATCTTGAAAAACCAAAAAAAAAAAAAAAAAAAATTTTTTTTAATTTCTGGGACTGGGGAGATGGTTCAATGGTTAACAGCACTGTATGTATGTATGTATGTATGTATGTATGTATGTATGTACTTCCAGAGGACCCGGGTTCAATTCCCAGCAGCCACACAGCAGCTTACAACTGTCTGTAGCTCTAGTTCAGGGGATCTGACAGCGTCAGACATAATACATGCAGGCAAAACACAACTGCACATAGAAAAATTTAATTTCTGACTGGGCATGATGCACATGACTTTAGTCCCAGTCCTCTGGAGGCAGAGGCAGGTGGACCTCTCAATTCAAGACCATCTTGGTCTCTATAGAGTTTCAGGACAGCTCTATGTAGACAGACTCCTGTCAAAAAATAAAATCTACCCATGTCTGTCTGTCCTCAGGTTAGTCTTAGAACTTGGGTCCAAGGATGACCTTGAAATCCTGATCTGCCTGCCTGTACTTCCCAAGTGCTGAGACTACAGGCATATAGCTCCAGCTGCTAAATTTTTTGAGAAAAAGTCTTATTCTGTAGCTCAGGCTGGTCTAGAAGTTGCCATTCTGTCTTTTACTCCTGAACTCTAGAACAGGCACATGCCACCATGCCTGGCTTTAGTGGTATTAAGCTGAGACTAATGACATCAAGAAAGGATAGATGGGGAAAGGGTTGGCCATGCTGAGGCAAAGAGAAGCCTCCAGCAAGGGAGGCAGACAGTCTGTCAGGTGAAGCTATTGTGACCTGAACACGCCCCTCCTTACCTCATCACTCGGTTCACTGTACACTATAGAGGCTCCATAGGCTTGAATTGCCAGTTTCTTGCAGTCGGGAGCCGTTTGAGGCACCACTATGTAAGCAGGAATCCCTGGGAGGGGAAGAACATGATTAGATAGTGTGAGGAGCTTCGAGGATAGACACTTGGATCATCTGCCTTATGAGCAAACGGATTCCTTTGGAAACTTCCTTTCCCCAGCTGTCCTCCCGCTTACTGAAATTAGAGTATTTCCCCACTCCTCTGACACTATTCTGCACCCCGAGGAAATGAAGTACCTTCCAGTCGGGCAGCAAAGGTGAGAGCCTGGCCATGGTTTCCACTGCTGTGAGTAACAACAGCTTTGGGCTTCCCTTCCAAAGTGTCAGGAATTAAGCTTCTGATGGCATTAAGGGCTCCACGAATCTGGAAGAGATGGTGAATTATAAATGGTGCCTCATTTAACAATGGGGACGTGTTCAGAGAAATTAATTCATTTGTTCATTGTGCACCCAGGCTATGTGATAGAGCCTATTGCTCCTAAGCAATAAACTGAAGAATGTTAAAAATACTGAGCAATGCCGGGCAGTGGTGGTACATGCCTTTAAATCCCAGCACTCGGGAGGCAGAGGCAGGCAGATCTCTGTGAGTTCGAGGCCAGCCTGGTCTACAGAGTGAGTTCCAGGACATCCTGGACAGGACTGTTTCACAGAGAACCCCTGTCTTGAAAAACCAAAAGGGGGGGAGGGGGAGAAATACTGAGCAATACTACATGCAGCTGCAATACAATGGTATTTGTCTAAATAGAAAAAATATATAAAGGTAAAATGGTATAATACTTACACAGGACATTTTCCCCTTTATTTTTTAAATTTATGTATATGATGTGTGAGCCTGTTTGATTCTCTGGAACTGGGTTATAAATGTTTTTGAGCCACTGTGTGGGTACTTGAAACCCAGGTCCTCTGTAGGAACAAGTACTCTCCACTGCAGGACCATTTCTCTGGCTTCCGTGCCCACTTTTTTTAAAAAAGATTTATTTATGAAAAGAAATAAGATTTTTTATGTATTATGTATACATTGTTGTGCCTTCCTGTATCCCTGCAAGCCAGAAGAGGGCACCAGATCTCATTACAGATGGTTGTGAGCCACCTTGTGGTTGCTGGGAACTGAACTCAGGACCTCTGGGAGAGCAGCTAGTGCTCTTAACCTCTGAGCTAACTCCCACCCGTGCCCACTTCTGTTTGAGTCTTACTCTGCTGCCTCAGCTGGGCTAGAACTTAATCCAGTAGTCCAGAGTAGCTCTGAACTCCTGCTAACCCTCTTGCTTCAGTCTCCCATGTGCTGGATTACAGGGATGAGCTACCACATCCCCCTAAAGAACATTTAGTGAGTGTCTTGTGGGACAGAAGATAGATCTGGGAAGATCTAAAGATGTTGCTATATAGTACTGTAAACTAAACATTGTACACTTAAAACTATACCAAGTTTAAAGAGTATTTTTCACTATAGTAAATTATTATAACTGCTTTACTTTTGTTAAAAAAAAATTTACCTGGGTTAATTCCAATATTTGGGAGGCAGAGGCAGGTGAATCTCTGAGTTCAAGTCCAGCCTGGCCTACAGAGTGAGTTCTAGGACAGTCAGCTATACACAGTGAAACCCTGTCTCAAAAAATAAAAATAAAAAATTGAAGACAGGATCTCATGTGGCCCAGGCTGTCACTAAATATGCTATGTAGCCAAGGACAATATTATTTCTGATTCTTCTGTTTAAAATACAAAAACATTGTACAGCTGAACAAAAATACAGCCAGGTGTGATGGTGCATACCTTTAACTTATTTAGACAATATTCATGGGACCATAATTATAAGGGACTTTAGGTTGTGTGAAAGAAGTGACATTATCAACGTTATAAACCTGGTACCCAGGACTTGAAAACGGTGCAACCTTTTGTTTCCAACTGCAAACAGACATTTGTTTACTTCCAGCCACCCCATTAGTTGACAGGAGAATAAAACAAACAGACTGGAAAACAGTATGACAAACAAAATGGATTGTTACCTTAAAAGACCCAGTTTTCTGGAAGAGTTCACATTTGAAGAAAAGACTGCGCCCTGCTATTTGATTTAAAATGGAGCTTGTGAGCACTGGCGTGAGGTAGACAGAATCTCGAATGTTGGTATGAGCTTTTTCAACATCAGCAAAGGAGATGCAGTACTGAGCAGACATGGTTCTGAAACCCAGGAACAAGACAAGGGGTTAAAGCACAGGCCAAACAATGTCTATTCAAAGCACTGAGTCAGGAGACTAGCTGGGGGCTGAGGTGCTATGCAGAACTGTTCCCACTACTAGCATGCTGGGATTTCTGTTCAGAGGAACTTCTTTACAGCTGAAGTACAAGTACGTATTCTTGTCCCTACTGAAATTGAAGTTATCAGCCTCCACTCACACCTCTTGGCACTGCTACAGGTGCCTTTTCATCATTGTATAGCCAGGCTGGCCTTGAACTTACAGAGATCCACCTGCCTCTGCCTCCTAAGTACTGGGATTAGAGGCTTGTGCCATTACATCTTCTGTTTTCAGAGTCTCAAGTTTCACTATGTTGTCCAGGCTGGTATAAAACCCAAGGGAGCCAGGCTGTGGTGGCGCACGCCTTTAATCCTAGCACTGGGAGGCGAGGCCAGGCAGATCTCTGTGAGTTCGAGGCCATCCTGGTCTACAGAGCGAGATCCAGGACAGGCACCAGCCCTACACAGAGAAATCCTGTCTTGAAGAAAACAAAAAAACCAAAAAAACCCCCAATGGATCCTCCTGTCACAGCCTTCTGATTCCTGGGTTACTCATGTGTGCCATTGTACCTGGCTTATATTTTTATTTCAAAATTAACAAATATTGGGACTAGTAAGATGGCTCAGCAGCTTAAGGCACTTACTGCCAGGCCTGATGACCATAGTTTGGTCCCCAGGACCCACACCATGGAAGAAGTGACTCTCTCAAGTTGCCTTCTGACCTCTACACATGTGCCTTGGGAAGCATGGCCAACACACACACACACACACACACACACACACACACACACACACACACACATGTATCCAGGAGTGGTGGCACATGCTTTTTAATCCCAGCACCCTGGGGGCAGAAGCAGGTAGATCTCTCTGTGAGTCCAAGGCCAGCTTGGTCAACAGAGTCAGTTTCAGATTAGCTAGGGTTACACAGTGAGTAAATAAATGAACATAAGTTATTTTGAGAAAAAACATTTTTTTCCCTTGGTTTTTTGAGACAGGGTTTCTCTCTCTCTCTCTGACAACCTGGCTGTCCTGGAACTCCCTTTGTAGACCAGGCTGGCCTTAAACTCAGAGATCTGCCTGCTTCTGCCTTACAAGTACTAGGATTAAAGGCATGTGCCACCACTGCCTGGCTGAGTTTTATTTTTAAAAGATGTAAAAATTTTGTGCTTGCTTCAGCAGCACATATACTAAAAGAGATGTAAAAATTTTATGTGTCTATGTGAATGTGTGGTACGCGTGCACATGTGCCCACTGAGGCCAGTGGATTTCTGGAGCTAGTGTGGAGCTGCCTGGTAGGTTGCTGGGAACTAAACTCAAGTCACCAGGAGTGGCAGCGAGTACTCCCAACAATCAGCCATCTTGTTTTTACTTTCTGGATGATTATGGCATGTAATTCACACTATGATCCTCAAACTCACAACCCTCCTGCTTCCATCTCCTGATTGCCAGAATCACAGCATGGGCCTGTGTTCTGGTTTACAGGGTTTTTTTGGTCTCATATAGCCCAGGATGGCCTCAAACTTCATATGTAGCCAAGAATAACCTTGAATTCCTGATCATTCTGCCTTCTTCTTTCAAATGCTAGGATTACAAGCATGTGCCACCAAGCCTGGCTGTATTATTAAATTTTATTCATTTGTAGCCCAGGCTAGCTTACAACTCACTGTATATACCAGGGTGTCCTTGAATTTACAGCAGTCCTCTTGCCTTGGCCTCCCAATCCCTGGGATTATAGTACGAGCCACCATGCCTCGATCAGTCCTACCATGTTTTTGCTTTTTATTTAGTTCGTTTTTTTTTTTTTTTCTTGTGTGTGTGTTTTTGTTTTTCGATACAGGGTTTCTCTGTGTAGCTTTGCGCCTTTCCTGGAACTCACTTGGTAGCCCAGGCTGGCCTTGAACTCACAGAGATCCGCCTGCCTCTGCCTTCCGAATGCTGGGATTAAAGGCATGTGCCACCACCGCCCGGCTTTTATTTATTTTTTTGCCAAGAGAACCAAACTTTATTAATCTTCACTGAGTTAAAGTGTAGCAACCCGCAATTGCCAGCATGAGAATTTAATCACCCATATCCAGGGGATGATGCCTTCATCTAGATTCATGCTTGTGCTGCAGACACATAAATTTTAAGTTTAAAATAAACTCTTTTAAAGCTGAAACTGACCACTTAGTTCTCCAAGCCTGGAGTTCCCACTGTACCCCCTCCCATCTAATGTATTGATAGTAGTAAGTGAACACAGAATAAGAGTTCAAACCTTAAGGGACAGACAGGGGCCGGGGAATGGTGCTCACAGGGGCTAGTTCAGTTTTTGGGACAGGGTCTCATGTAGACCAGACTAGCCTCAAACTCACTATGTAGCAGATAACCTTGAAATCCTGACTGTCTTACCTCTATCTTTCAAGGGCTGAAATTCCAGGACTACACTACTGCGTCCGGCTTTCAAGCCATCTTAATAAATCATTTTTCAGACGGGTGGTGATGGTGCACGCCTTTAATCCCAGCACTCGGGAGGCAGAGGCAGGCGGATCTCTGTGAGTTCAAGGCCAGCCTGGGCTACCAAGTGA